CATCTGAAAAGGTAAATCACTTACTCTATGAAATATTGGCCTATATAAATAACTTAACCCTATTTCAATTGTAAGGCTAATATATATGTTTTCATATTCCACAGAAAGAACAATCACCATACAATCGCAAGATGGTATTGAGTAAAGGGGAGAGAATTCAGTATCCTTGTTGAGATTGATTGTAAATTCCCAGATTTTGACACAAACATGAATGTTATAGCTATGGAGATAGATGAGGTTTCCAAAAAATTACCACCAGATCAAACCAAGGTTAACATGCCAATTACAAAACAAAGTAGAAGAAGGAAGAAGATACTAAGTGATGATGAAAAAATGAAAGAAATAGTTGCAGGCATACCTTATGTTTAAAAACATATTGCAGCAGTTGAAACTGACAATGAAAATCCATACAAAAAAATACATGCAAGAGGACTAACAACATTAAGCAAGTCATTACAGATGATAATCCATAGTAATTGAGGATACATGAGGTAGAAAAATAGATTGTACTAGATGAAAGTGACGACGAAGCCCCACTAATTCAACTATAAAGAAAAAGGACCAGGAAGGTTAAAGGAAAAAACATCATGCCCTATCCGATGGAAAAGATGATCAAAGAGGGAAAAAATAATATATAATTGATTTAAAATTTCCTTATTTTTATCTACCAATGCTTATTATCTCGCTAATATTTAAAAACAACTTACGTTTTTTCACCAAGCAACTTCACCTAACACCACTTTTATTTTTAACTTGCTTTCCTATATCAATGAATTTTATTAACTGTTTCACTAAACATTCAATGTATTCAATTGATTGCTTTGAAACAGATCAACAACAATCTTCTACTGCAATTTATATCCTCATACATAAAAAAAGGTTTACATACATCCTACCCTATAATAGATGTTTTTTCCTATATATGTCAAATATGTGACTACAATTGCCATTAATGATTCCGTTATGTTTTAGATCAATGCTAGATTACATATGCTAAATAGGAAGAGATAAGAGAAGTGTCACACCAACAATCCAAATTTTATCACCATCAAATCAACAATGGCACACAACAAACATCAAGGTCAATCTAATATGTTAAGTACTTATCACAATTCAAAATTAAATTTAACCCTTCTATTAACTTCACTTCACAGGTGATACAAATATAACCACTTCTTTCATGCCAAATCAAGCAGTTGATAAAGAAAAAAACATTCCTTCTACCTGTAAACTCATCAGCATGACAACCATACAACAAAAAATTCCACCAACACAGGTAAGAACTTACATAATCATGTAAAATCCAACATACATGAGTTCTTAGTACAATGCAAACATATTCACATACACAGATACAAAAGTATTACATCCCTTGTCTAAATGTACCAAAAAAATGTTCCCCTTATAGAGAAAAGTCAATTGCAAAGCGCATTGTAAAGAGTGGATAAGTATATATTAGCAACCCAATCAATATCACATCTCGAAGATGAACATCCATATTTGAAAAAGCAGTGTAAAATCAATTGTCTATTTAGAGCATTATCTGAAGAGTCTGAAGTTAGAGGTACATCGGAAAACCCTATTCATATCTGACATAACTTGAACATTCAATAATTTTATCAAATTACACTTCTAACATATCTCTAAAAATATTTCTATATATAGGAATTGTTGCTTATAACTTATCTTTATCATATTTGCACGTGCTAAAAGTTGTCCCAGAATGTATTTATTGTGCTGCAAAAAGATTGGAATATGAACCTCCAACATTCTGTTGTGCAAGCGGATATATCAAATTGGCAAAAACTGAAGCACCAACAGAACTATATGAAATGTTTGTGCCATCTACTCCAGACGCGGTAGAGTTTCAAAAAAATATTCGTGCATATAATAGTATCTTTGCTTTTACATCTTTTGGTGTTTACCTGGATAAGGAACTAGCATCTGCAAAAAAAGGAGTATACGCATTCAGGGCACAAGGTCATATTTATCAGGATCTCCATTGTTGCTACCACGTGATAACAATCCATGTTACTTCCAAATATACTTCTTTGATACAGACAACGAATTGACAACCAGACTATCGAAGGTGAATGAAGGAATTCTTTCAGACCATATTGCAACAAAAATCAATCAGGTAATGGAGAGTAACCCTTATGCACAAATATTTTGCCAATTAAAAAACCAAACAAGTTTCCACTATTTTCAACATCGTATTGCTGCAAATGCCTCTTTGGATCAATGAGTGTACAACATACCCTCGTTAAGTCAAGTAGCAGCAATTTTGATTGATGGAAACAATCCAAATATACCTTTTGATCGAGAAATAATTGTCCATGAGAACTCAGGGTACAAACAGGGAATAAAACACTTTTTTGGTTGTTATGACCCTCTTCAATATCCTTTGTTATTCCCAAGAGGTGAAGGTGGATGGCATCAAGGAATAAGAAAACAGGGCAAAAGACTGCCTCACAGAGAAGTGCTCACTCACCACATATACTTAATGATATTCCAACATTCATATCAGCTGATGCAATATTAGCAAACGAGGATCAAGGTAAAATATATTACATTATGGCCTCTTATAGAAAAAATTTAGTCATGTTCTTCACAAGTTAGTAACTAATAAAAAACACATGCACGATATAAAAGAATACTACCAAAGGCGTACAAAATACAATTATAAGAAAATATATTTTTCTATTATACAAATATGATAACCAACATAAAATAAAAATAATGTTAATATGATTCCTTTCACTTGTTGATGTCCGCCATGAGACAAAGTGAAAGGTTCTTGCAGAGAGTACTATTGTTATAAGCTACAACTACGAGAAACAGAGAGGCCAGTATTACTACTATGTGGAAGATTACTACAACAATTTGTGGTTGACATGTACATAAAATTGGAAACAACAAGGCTAGAATATATCAAAAAGGAACAATCAAATTTTAGAAGAGAGGTTTATCAAGGTATTGTTTATAGTGTCAGCTCGGGAGAATGCAGGGGAGATAGAATTGGACAAAGAATACTACTTCCATCATCTTTTATTGGGGGCCACGAGATATGAGAAAACGATATATGGATGCAATGGCTTTGGTACAACATTTTAGTAGACCAAATATGTTTATAACAATGACGTGCAATCCTGACTGGATTGAAATCCAACAAGAATTGCGCCCTGGACAAACTCCTCAAGATAGACCTTACTTGGTAACAAGAGTATTCAGAGCTAAGTTGCAGGATCTAAAAGAACAAATTTTTAAGAAAGAAATATTTAGAATTTTTGTTGCTCATGTATTCATGGTAGAATTTCAAAAATGAGGACTTCCACACATACACCTACTTCTCATATTAAAAGAAGGGCACAACATCAAATCAGGAGATCAGTACGATAGGTTTATCTCAGCAGAGATTCCAGATAAATATAAGTATCCTATATTACATAAATTAGTGCTCAAACATATGATGCATGGTCAATATGGAAACAAACGTCCAACAAACACATGCATGCAAAATGGACAGTGTAAATATCATTATCCAAGGCCATACAACAACAAATCAATCCAAGCAAGAATGGATATCCAATTTATAAAAAGAAGAATGGATGGAAGAATAGAGATTGTTTGTAGAATGCATATGACAAATCAATGGGTACAACCTTATAGCCCTTATCTGCTTACAAGATACAATTGTCACATTAATGTTTAGGTTTGCTCAGGAGTCAAAGCAATAAAGTATCTATACAAGTATATCTATAAATGACATGATCAGTGTGCAAGTTTATGTTCAGTCTAATGATGGTGAAAATGTTATTGACGAAATACAAACATTTCAAGATGCGCGATGGGTCTCACCGCCTGAAGCACTATGGAGAATATATGAATTCAACTTGACTGAAATGCAACCAGCAGTCATCAACCTTCAACTACATTTTCCATAAAAACATTCAGGTACACATATTAATGCATTATAATACACATTTACTTAAAAAATAATTAAATTATCAAATACAAATGCTAACTCAAAAGAAAATCACAGTGTTTTACTGGAAAAATAAAATTTAAAAAATGTCATCGCCTGGGATGGTGTCAAGCAAACGATGTTGAACGAATATTTCAGAATTTGCTCAATTGACTCTGAAGCAAAAACATATCTTTATAGAGAATTTCCAAAGTATTATATTTTGAATTCAAAGGTAAGACTTGGACAAAAAGGAAAACAAGATCTGTAATTGGTCGCATCGCAATCAGTAAGCTGAATGTACTAAGCTATAAATTCATACACATTGATAACTTTTAAACTTATTAATTAGTACATATTGATTATATTGCACATCTAATCCTCGAGAAGGGGAAATATATTATGAGCGGTTGTTACTGAACCATGTAAGCGGACCATTGTCATTCAACGACCTACTCACGGTCAATGGCGAGCAATGTCAAACCTTCAAAGAAGCAGCCAAAGAAAGAGGGTTACTTGAGTCTGACAATAGCATATCCGAATGTATGAGAGAGGCTGTTGTTTTCGAAATGCCATTCGCTCTTAGAAGTTTGTTTGCTACAATTTTTGTTCATTGTAACCTAAAGGACATTAGAAAACTCTGGGATACTTATTATGAGGATATGTCAGAGGACTTCAGTAGGCTATATGGCAACTCACACAATACTATACTACAGTCTACTCTGAATAGTATTAATAATTGCTTGCAATGTATCGGCAAAAGCATAGACATATATGACATTCCTCAACTAGATCACAATTTCCTCGAAGCTGGTTCATCAGAATGTAGAGAAATAAATGAAGAAATGTTCGAGAAAATACCACCAGAAGATTTTGATGCACAATCACAATTAAATCCAGAACAACATCATGATTTTACAAAAATAATGCAAACAATCAATGCTGGAACAACTGCAATATTCTTTGTGGATGGACACAGGGAACTGGAAAAACATACCTATACCGTGCATTACTTGCCAATGTTAGATAAAGAGGTATGATAGGTTTGGCAACAGCAACCAGTGGCATAGCTGCTTCAATCTTACCAAGAGGACGTACAACACACTCAAGGTTTGAGATCCCTCTTCAAACAAGTGAATCAACTATGATAAACATGTCAAAGCAAAGTGGTGTTCCCAAATTGATTAGAAAAGTAAAAGTGATTATATTGGATGAAGCACCAATGGCCAAACGACAAACAATAGAAACAGTCGATAGGAGCTTTAGAGACATAATGGACATCGATAAACCATTCGGCGGAAAAGTCATGGTTTTTGGAGGAGATTTTCGACAGGTGTTACCAGTAGTTCAAAAATCAACTCGAGCAGAAATTATAAATGCAAGCTTGGTAAAATCATATCTCTTGACTTTGATGGAGAAGATTCAATTTACTAGAAATATGAGAGCAAGAACAGATCCAACATTCCGTGAGTTCTTACTTCGAGTGGGTTACGGTGATGAACAAACAATAAAAGAAAAATTAATCCTCCTCCCAAAACAATTAACAATCAAACATTCCAAGGATAAAATTCCAGAAGAATCCATAATAAAAGAGATATTTCAAAACCTGCAAGAAAATGTTGCAACAACAAAATATGTCACTGAAAGAGCTATTTTAGCAAGCAGAAATGACCATGTGGATAAAATTAACAACAAGTTAATATCTCAATTCCCAGGTGAAAGCAAGATACTCAATAGCTTTGACTCAGCGGAAGATGACACCAACAACTATTACCAAGAAGAATATCTAAATACTTTAACACCAAACGGTCTCCCACCACATAGGTATTGAACATAATACATTACAACTTACAAGAGGCGGAAAAAATAAAAAAAATGGATAGATTTTGACATATCTTATTTAATACAGGTTAGAATTGAATGAAAATGCACCTATCATGTTGCTAAGGAACTTGGACCCTTCAAGTGGCATATGCAACGGCACACGAATGATATGTAGAGGTTTCTCTCAAAATGTCATGTATGCAGAAATATCAAGTGGTCATTCTGCAACAAAACATGTGTTTCTTCCAAGAATACAACTATCACCACCAGAAAATGAAAGATATCCATTTAAATTCATTCGAAAGCAATTCCCCATACACCTTTGTTTTGCGATGACTATAAATAATGCTCAAGGTCAAACAATTCACAATGTTAGTTTGTATTTGCCCCAACATATTTTCTCACATGGTCAATTGTACGTGGTGGTATCAAGAGGGATATCTTTGTCCACAACAAATGTACTTGTCCTAACAGAGCAATCCAAACGTAAAAAAGGAACGTACACATAGAACATCATCTATAAGGAAGTTTTAGGTACGATGACCCCATATACATATATGGTTATTCTAACACATATAATTAAATATTTACAGATACTATATACTAACAACATTACATTGCTTCAAATCACATGTTTAGAAGACGCAAGTAAACCTATACAAGCATAATGGATTCTTCAACAACCCACACTCTACAATGCGTTGAAGTCATTTTCAAAATATTTCTTTCATTAATATTATAAGCTTTATTAACATTATATTCTATTATAATGTTTAAATATTAGTATTATTAACAAATAACCGTACTTTCGTACTTCTGTTTAAACACTTCATATTAACTACATGTGATTGTTACTAATTATTATTAAATGCATCAAATCTTTTTCACTATACAACATCACTAATACCTCATGTAATCATCAAAGGAATAATAAATAGAATGTACGCTTCTACTACATCAATAACAATTCACCCAATCATTAAAACACAGATTTAAAAGAAAAAAATTCACATAGAATGATATTATTTACCAAAGCTCACACGTGCAACGCACGTGTCCCTGACTAGTAATATAATAAAAGAGAATCATATAAGTTGATTATTTTATAACTATAGTAAACATGATGAAAAGGATGCCACAAGAAGAAAATGCATGACTTTATCACATTTTTAATATACATGAAGAAGATTTATGCATCTTTTAAAAATGATGTATAATGTTCAAAATCAACATATATTGATGGATCATACCATAAGCAATATAACAAAGTAAAATCATGAATGAACAAAACATTCTTTGAATTTACAAAATGCAATATCCCACATTATTTTTAGATCACTATAGTGCATTCTAAATAAGGAACAAATAATGAGGAAGATGGTGACAATTTTTACTTGTATTTCGTTGTCATCAAAGGATGAAATTATCCAAATATATAACACGTTTGAGGATTTAAATAAAAAGATAACTGAAGTGTTGTCTAATTCAAATATTGTTTATATTATCAATATTTAGATGCCTTTAGAGAATAAATAAATCTAAGTTTATTTAGGTATTTATTGATGTTTACTATAAGCTCAATTATCCCTCCTCAAACTAGTACATTTCTCATGAGATCCAAAAACATGTTTTATATTTGAATATTTTCTTCATATGAAGACACCAGAAAAAGAGTTAAAATATCACTATCAAAATCTAAACTTGATAAACCCACTAACAAATGGAAGATCTCTTCACAACTAAAATAGAGGTAGAAACTAACTTCTTTAAATATATTTAAAATTATAGTTAGGGTAAGAATAAGTCGTATATAATACTATTTATTCCCCATCTTAATGAAAACATTTCATTGCTAAATTGATTTTATTTGGATATAACTCTATTTAATTTATACCACACACTCCATACATTTTAAGAATACCGAATACTTTTAAATCCGAAGTTCAAAAATTTTAATCATTTAATGTGAAGAACTTATCCAAAAATTTGTGAATTGTTTTATATGAGTTAATGAAGCATTAAAGAACTATGGCATTATGTTTTTAAACTAAAATTTTATGATCAAAATCAAAATTAATGATGCGAAATTACATAGTTGGATGAACTACCATTAGAGGTCATGCTTGACACACTACAAATTAAATTCAAAGCATCACCATGTTACACATCTAACTAGCATTAAGTCTTGAATATGGATTCCTGTTCCTTCACATGAAAATAAGAGGAAGACTAAAGACAATTAAGCATTTAAACCTTCTTAAGGAGGATACAACAATGATTAACATGGTAGAGAAACACCATCTATTAGTCTAATGATGTCTTTTTCCACTGGTGTTTTCTTGCCATCAAAGAAAGGAATTATCAAAATATATAACAAGTTTGGAGTTTGAATAAATAAGTAACATAAGTATTATATAATTAAAATACTTTTTATATTATCTACACATGTAGTTCAAATCCTTTAGATGTCTTTAGAGTCTCAATAATACAAAGTCCTTGGTTGATAATGTTTAAGTTTAATCTCACTTATTTATCCTCAAACTATAAAATTTCATTTTCCTCGTTGTAAGTAGTTTAGGGGAAATCAGTAGTACAAGTAAATAAGTTGGTTGAATAATTTTTGTCTTCAAATAGTCTACGATGAAGAAATGTATGCATAAATAGCTATTTGGAGTGTACACTCCTTCATGGTAACTATTTATGTAGGTATTCCTTCATTGTGTTGTTCTTGCACCAAATATTACTCCTCCAAGTTGTTTCAAATGTAGTTATGATTTTTCTTTAACCTTCTTTCAGCGAAGAAAGTAAAATCTTAAAATTTTAGGAAGTACATTTTCATTCTCTAAAGGACTTTGATTTACTAATTTTCTGAGGCATCGAAACCATATGAATCACACTTGTAAATAATATGGCTAAAATAAAATAAAATTTCTATTACCTTTTTATTCATCCTTTATTGACAACAAACAATTGAAATATCACTATCAGAATAAAATATAATGCTCCTTCACAATGTTGTTCATCTTCTTTACCTTGACTAGAATGTTGAAATGTTTTATTTAGTGTAGTCATCCTCGTCTATTAATGTGAAACAACAAGAACTAATGATTCGAATCATCGTGAGATATTAAATTTTATAATTTCATATATTTTTTGTTCTTTTCTTCTTTCACTTTGTGATATTTCTCATAGTATAATGCATCAAAAATGTAATGAGTTTTCACATTATATGTCTAAATATATCATTCATGTAGAACAACTAATTTTGTTCTTTAGTTAACTATGTCAAGTTATAGTCTCATGTCTAGAGTTAACAAGGTTGCTTGTGATTAACCAACGTTATGTCTTCATGGTACTTAATTCAGAACTCAATATCCATCTTATAACTAATTCACAATCAGTTTGTTCCATTTAGTATCATAATTCCAAAAATTTGTGTTAGATAGAGATACTGAATACATTCTATGTTAAAAGAAAAAAAAGAATAATATCAAAAAAATTAAATAAAGAATAATAACCTCAAATCTAAATTGGAGAAAGTGAATATCAAATTACAAAATTCTTCACAAACAAAAATGGAGGTACAAACTTACTACTTCAAAAATATTTAAAAGTAAAGGTAAAATAAAAGCAAGTCGTAAATAAGACTATTTAGTCATCTTCTTAAATAAGTTTTGTCATTCATTAAATGATTTATAATTAGATATAACTATATTATATTGATACCATACATATACACTACACTTCAAAAATAATAATAGAAAACCTTTAAATCTGAAATAAGTTAAAATATTTTAATCATTTAATATAAAGGGCTTATCCAAAAATTTCTGAATTTATTGTTATGAGTTAATGAAACATTAAAGTACTATATCGTATATATAAACTAAAATTTTATCTTCGAAATCAAAATTAATGATATGAAATTAAATCATGTAATTCTTAAATTTCATGTCTACCTAAAAAGAAATTTATTTATCGAGCTAGAGAACATAATGTTGATGATTATTTAAACAATTATAGAAAAAGGTGTGGTGAACCTTTCATAAACATTGAATGTTATCATAATAAAAGAGGAAATTTCAAATCATATCTAATTTTAGTTTATGTGTTATGACTTTTTGAATGGTAAAATTGTCATGACTGGAATCTAGACCCCAGACGAGACGGGCGTCGTTGACCTCTCAGAGGTCGCAAACAAGCCTACTTACGTCATCCTTACTTAATATAGGTTAATTTTAGCTGAAAATTTGAAACTTTTGGTTCTTTAAGAATACTTGCTAATCATTCTTGACATTTTGTAATCGTTCATCATCAACCATCTAACATTAAAGAGATAAGCAACTAAAAGAAATAGTTCATTAGGTCTTAATTGTATAATTATCTAAATGCACCAATACAAAGTCTGAATCACACAGGAAAGAAACACTAGTGGAACATGCTTCACTAGCTCGACTCTAAAACTACGCTAGAATGTAAACAGTAGAATCCTCCAAAGCATAATGACCTACCAAACTCGGGATAAATGCTGACGTCCGGATAACTGCAACAACGAACCTGTATCTCTACCGTCCACCAGTTCCTACACCAAAAAGTAGATATTTGTATGGAATTAGTACACGCTTGTACTAAGTATGGATATATGCAATCATACACCAAGGACATACATGAGAAAGAATAGCTCTTTCCTAACGACATGATTTTTTGAAGTCAAGTCAGTAGACTTGCCAAATTGAGATTGGGAATGTTATGCCATAAGAGTAACATGCATCATTATAATTATCGTATTGCAGAGAACACATAACATCTTCATATAGCACATATCATAGCACATAACATATAACACAAAACTTCTTTCATATTATTCATTCATATGCCATGATGCCTTGTTATCATGGACTTGACATTAAGAATTTCAAAAATGAGGGCTTACTTATGGGACCTCAATTTGGGAGTCTTCATTAGCAAACATAGAGTCTGTTTCATTCATTCATACATAACTCATTT